ATTCACTCATTCACCCATCTCTTCATCCCCTCATTCATCCATCCATTCATTCACTCATTCACCCATCTCTTCATCCCCTCATTCATCCATCCATTCATTCACTCATTCACCTCTTCCTGCAGGGTGTACACTGTGAGAGTCCCTGTAAGGGCGCCACCTATGGGAAGAACTGCTCCCTGAAGTGTTCCTGTGAGAACTTCATTGACTGCTCCCCGCTGGATGGATCCTGCTTCTGCAAAGAGGGTGAAAAATGCCGCCACAACATCATCATCATCATCATCATCATGTTCATCAGGAGGTCACATGACCTTCTCTGTGGTGACTGCAGGCTGGCGGGGGCCCGACTGCTCGGCCCCTTGTGCTCAGGGCACCTGGGGCCCCGGATGCAACTCCACCTGCCGCTGCTCCAATGGGGCCACATGCGACCCGGCGGATGGATCCTGTTCCTGCTCAGCTGGATGGCGGGGGGCCCAGTGTGAGCAGCCGTGTGGGGTAAGGCTGCCATGATGATATGAACCTCATGTGAAGGAAATTGGAGACATCCTGATTTTGGTCCAATAAGGAGGGAAACAATCGCCTGATGCTGCTGATCCAGGATGTGGACAAACTTTCCATTATTATTGCTCAGAGTTCATTGAAGGAGCCTGGAGTAACGTCTAGGAGCTCCATCCCCACATCTACACCTTCAGTGGGAGGGGTCAAAGGTCGCAATGGTCGACCTTAGATGATGAGAACAAGTCTGACTTGTTCTGAAGGCTCCTTAGATCAGACCAAAGTAGAGACGTTTGGCCATAATCCACGACACCACAAAGAAAACCAAGCAGAGCTGCCAGCTCTGTTAGCAGAGGAAAAGCACGGTGGTGGAGGGCTGATGGTTTGGTCTGATTTTACAGTCTGCAGCTGACATGAACTCCCAATTAGCACAACTATGATCCCATCATAGTGCTGCAAACGGCCTAGTCAAAGCCCAGACATAGTCGAAGCCCAGACATAGTCAAAGCCCAGACATAGTCAAAGCCCAGACATAGTCGAAGCCCAGACATAGTCGAAGCCCAGACATAGTCAAAGCCCAGACATAGTCAAAGCCCAGACATAGTCAAAGCCCAGACATAGTCGAAGCCCAGACATAGTCAAAGCCCAGACATAGTCGAAGCCCAGACATAGTCAAAGCCCAGACATAGTCGAAGCCCAGACATAGT